CCCGACACCGTTTAATTTTCTACAGTCACCTTTGTTGTACCATCTTATTATTTACTTTCTGGAAATAAACGTACTATATGTCAGCTGGTTCCCCTTTATCCATAGCACACATTACTCCTTCCAGGGAGTCTAATACATTGGTTAAACATGATTTCCCTTTCACAAAGCCATACTGGCTCTGCCCAATTACCTTGAGTTTGTTTTCTAAGTGTGCAGTTAGAACCTCTTTAATGGTTGATTCTAACATTTTCTCCTTGACAGACATCATGCTCCAGTTTCTGCCTCCTTCCCTTCTTGAATGGGAGGGGGGGTTTCTGTTTGCTACTTTCCAGCCTGGTAGAATTTTTCCAGAATCTAGGGAATTTTAGAAATTCAACACCCAACTACCTCATTAGGAACAAAAACAGAAATTGCTGGAAAAGCTCAGCAGTTCTGGGGTAGCACAGTGGCTCAGTGGTTAGCACTGCTGCCTCGCAGCACCAGGGGCCTGGGTTCAATTCTCACCCTCAGGCAACTGTCTGTGTGGAGTCTGCATGTTCGCCCCGTGTCTGTGTGGATTTCCTCCCACAGTCCTAGGTAGATTGGCCATGCTAAATTGCCCGCAGTGTGCAGGGATGTGTAGATTAGGTGGGTTATAGGGGGATGGGTCTGGGTGGGATGCTCTGAGGGTCGGTGTGGACTTGCTGGGCCAAAGGGCCTGTTTCTATGCTATAGGGATTCTAAGAAATGCTGCCCAAAAGGATTCTAAAGTCTGGCAGCATCTGTGAAGAGAATTCAGAGTTAATGGTTTGGGCCCTCAGAGGAAGGGTCACTGGACCCAAAACATTAACTCTGATCTTGTTCTTCACAGATGCTGCCAGACCTTCTGTTTTTGTTCCTGACTTACAGCATCCACAGTTCTTTTGGTTGTTTACCTCATTAGGTGCCTCTTTCAAGACCTCAAGATGAGGTCTACATTGACACAAAGAGTTGTCACCTCACAGCTCCATCAGTTTGCTCAGTACCACTTCCATGTGATTGTAACTGCACCAGGTTCCTCTCTCCCTTCCACTTCAGGGACTTATAGATATTAGTTTTTGTATCTTCTATAGTGAGAACAGAAGCAAAATATTTGTTCATTTTATCCCATCATTCCCTTATTATCTATAGCTAACTCCCCATTCTCACTCTGTAAAGGTCCAACTTATTTACTCTTTCACTTTTTAATTATCTGTGTAAATTCTTGCTCTCCATTCTAGCTAGCTTCCTCTCACTCTCTAAGTGTTTTGTCCTGATTAACCTTATAGGCACTCTCTGCAGTTTTAACCAAGCATCTCACTTGTCACTAATTTGGAGTTTTTATATATTTCTTCCTTCAGTTTGAAGCTTTCTCTAACTTATTTAGCTAATCATGGATGGTGAATACTCTCTTCAGAACTTTCCTTTATAGTAGGAGTATACATATTCTGAGTATTATGAAACATTGGGGTGGCACGGTGGCTCAATGGTGAGCTCTGCTGCCTCACAGCGCTAGGGACCTGGGTTTGATTCCAGCCTCGGGTGACTGTCTGTGTGGAGTTTGCACGTTCTCCCTATGTCTGTGTGGGTTTCCTCCTACAGTCCAAAGGAGTCCAGGTTAGATGGATTAGCCTTGGAATAATGCAGGGTTATAAGGTAGGGGAGTGGGTCTGGATGGGATGCTCTTTGGCAGATTGTTACGGGCTGAATGGCCTGCTTCCACACTGTAGAGATTCTATGATTCTAGATCCTCTTAAATGTCTGCTGTTAAGTCTTTATTGATCTATCCCCTATCCTGGTAAGACAATTCGCTACAGCTAGCTTACGCCTGAATAGCTGCCCTTGCATAAGATTATAACACTAGTCTTACACCCAACCTTCTCCCTTTCAAACTGGATATAAAATTCAGTCATTTTCTCATTGCCACTATCTGGGGATGCCTTATCTCTGAGGTCATCTTCCCACATTGTACATTACCATGTCTAAAAAATTAGGGGGAGGCAATGGCCTAATGGTATTATCGTTGGACTATTAATCCAGAGACCCAAATAACATTCTGGGGGCTCGGGTTTGAATCCTGCCAGGGCAGATGGTGGAATTTGAATTCAATAAAATATCTGGAATTAAGAATCTAGTGATGACTGTGAATCCATTGTCAATTGTCAGGAAAAGCCCATCTGGTTCACTAATGTCCTATAGGGAAGGAAGCTGCCATCCTTACCTGGTCTGGGCCTACATGTGACTCCAGACCCACAGCAATGTGGTTGACTCTGAACTACCCTCTGGACACTCAGGGATGGGCAATAAATGCTGCCTCGCCAGTGATGCCCTCATCCCATGAATGAATAAAGAAAAAAATAATCTTCTCACTGGCTGACTCCAGAAATGCTACTCTAAGAAACTATCTTGAAAGCATCCTAAGAACCTTTCATCCAGCCAGTCTAACTTTTCCATCTTACATGCAATTAAAGCTTCCCATGATTTACATGGACATCATGTTGAGGGTGTACAGGACATTGGTGAGGCCTCTTCTGGAGTGCTGTGTCCAGTTCTGGTCTCCCTGGTATAGGGCAGGTATCATTAAGGTAGAGATGGTCCAGAAGAGACTTACCAGGATGTTGTGGGTATGGAGTTATAAAGAAAGGCTGGATAGGCTGGGACTTTTTTCACTGGAGTGTAGGAGGTTGAGAGGTGACCTTATAGAAGTTTATAAAATAATGAAGGATATAGATAGGGTTAATGGTAGTTGTCTTTTCTCAAGGGTGGGGTTTTCAAGACTAGGGGGCACATTTTTAAGGTGAGAGGAGAGAGATTTAAAAAAGACATGAGGTGCAATTTTTTACAAAGGGTGGTTTACGTGTGGAATGAGCTTTCTGAGGAAGTGGTGGATGTGGGTACAATTACAACGTTTAAAAGACATTTGAATAGGAAAGGTTTGGAGGGATAGGGACCAGGAGCAGGCAGGTGGGACTAATTTACTTTGGGATTATGTTAGGCATGGACTGGTTGGATCGAAGGGTCTGTTTCCATGCTGTGTGACTCGATGACTCTATAAGTACCCATTATGTGTTCTTACATCTTTGTCTCATATTGCAGTTGCTGTTAGGAGTCTCAGTCCACTCCCATTAGTGACTTCTTCCCCGTATTATAT